TAGCTCACACAAGGACTCATCCTGCCTGAGGTTCTCCAGAGGAGCCTCCTCACCTACTCCCAGCTCTGCCTTTGCAAAGTTAAAATTGAGTGGAAACAACAAGAAAAGAGGAAGATAGTGTCTCCCTAAGCCCTTAACTTGCCCATCTGTGAAATGGGTGGTTGGATTAGATGGTCTGTGGTCCTTTCCATAGCTGATGCTCAGCTGCTTTATGGGGAACTCCTTGCTGTACCTTCTCTCTCGAAGGTCTGGATCATGAGGATAGGCAGCACTAATCTGCAGTCCCCTCCCTAGCTTGATTTTGGTAACTTACACATTTAAAGTCATTAAAGTATGTCCCATTCTTAGGACAAAAGCACAACTATTCTGAAGCTGTTGGTCTATGAGCTCAACTTGTCTGCCTGTTGGCCCCTTTATCTGCTACAGAGCTAGTCTCAGCCCCCACCCTCCTATGACAACTCTGGAAGAGTGCAGGATAAGAGGGAAATTAGTGGCCCTACATCTGTTAAATGTGGAGAAAGCAAGGCTGAGCTCCAAATCTTTGAGGGCAGGGCTATCTTTCTGGGACTTGCCAAGTTCTCTGGGGCCTGGGACTATGGTGGGCTGGTTACTGGGGAGGTCCACTGGAGATTCCTGGAGATTCAGGCTGTTGTGTGATATCTGGTGATGTGTGTCCTTGTGTAGTTATTGACTACTTGTGTCTTGGAATTTAGAATCATTTTGTACAGAATTGTTGCTAATTGTCAGGAGGAGAAAATGGGCTAGAAAAAGCCCAGTCTTAAGTTATCTGGTTGTCATTCATAATTGACATTTAATTTGTCAAATCACTGTTGGTGCCTAATCACTTAAGTTAGTAATTCTGTTTTCTTTTTTTAAAAAAAATTGTAACATAATTATCCTGTTGGTAGGTCTGGGGGTGGGGGTGGGTCATGTTTTTGCCATGGTGATACATGATACAGGCCTGGAGCTTGCGAGTCCCTTTTTATTGTGGTATTGGAGTAGGACAACAATAAAGTCCATTAGAAATGCAAAAAAAAAAAAAAAATCATGGTGATTCTGTGTTTTGATGCAGGCACCTGACTAATTCATTATGTTTTCTAGTGTAATAGGGGAGAATTTATATATGGAAATATGTATTATTTTGTCACGCATGTTTCTTTTATTTCCCTATGGGTACAGTTATTTCATCGATTTACAAATATTTGTATAGATGGGCTGTCTTATGAATTTCATTTCACGGTAGTAAAAATATGTATACAATAAAAGGAGGTATTAAGAAAATAAATATTGGCTTGGTGCCTATGGCTCAAGGTGCCAGCCACATACACCTAAGGTGGTGGGTTCAAATCCAGCCCGGGCCTGCCAAACAACAATGATGGCTGCAACCAAGCTGGGCTTTGTGGCGGGTGCCTGTAGTACCAGCTACTTGGGAGGCGGAGGCAGGAGACTCACTTGAGCCCAGGAGTTGGAGGTTGCTATGAGCTGTGATGCCACAGCACTCTACCCAGGGTGACAGCTTGAGGCTCTGTCTCAAAAAAAAAAAAAAAAAAAAGAGAAAAGAGAAAAAAAGTAAATATTGAGAAAGAAAAATTTTAAAAAATGTGTATGCACACACACATATGGCATAAGGGTCTGACAGTGCTGGAAACAGGTGCTTTAATTTTAGGATACCAGGAAATGCCCTTGGCATTTGTGGCTTCATCTCTTACATTCTGGTTTCCTATCTGCTTCTGGTTTCTGTTCCCTGGAGATTTTCCCTTTCTTTCAACCTTAGCAGTGATGTTTAGTATGAAAATGACAGGCAGGTAGTGGCAGACTTCAATTAGATTTGAGTCTTTATTGTTAAAGGCAGCCTCAAAACTCAAAACCAAGTTAATGCAGAAAAGCCCTCCAATTAGTAAAAGAACAAGCTAGATCACTGTACACCTAGGCTCTCTCCTGAGTACTCCTATGGGACATTGATCAGGTACTTTCAGATCAGTTCCTTGAGTCTAGAAAATATATTTAAGAACTTGAACTTAGCCACAACCAGTTATCACTCTGCTTCCCTAGGAAGCAGATTCTGAGTGGAGTTTAGCAATATGTTTAAGTCGTACCCTTGGGACCAACATTTATGGATGGGAGGGCATAGAAGCAGGATAGGGCAGTGGGAGTTGAGATCTGATGCAGACCTAAGGACAGCCTTAATTGATAGCATGAGATTGTCTAGAGCTTAGTGACATCAGTCTACTTCACAGCAACTTCAAACTCCTGGGCTCAAGTGATCCTCCTCCTTCCAAGAAGCTAGCACTACAGGCACCCACCACAATGCCCAGTTATTTCTTCTATTTCTATTACAGATGGGGTCTTACTGTTGCTCAGGTTGGTCTCCAACTCCTGAGCTCAAGGGATCCTCATCCCTTGGCCTCCCAGAGTACTAGGATTACAGGTATAAGCCACCTTACCTGACCCAAAATGGCCAGTCCACACAAGAATCATGTCTTCCCATTGATTAGTTGCTCGATGTTGAATGTGGGCCAACCTGGGAAACAGCATGACTTTGAATGAGACAGCTATCTATAGGTGAGGAAATCCCTGAAGGAAGTGATGATTGAAGACTATCCTCACAGCACTCCTAACAGCCACTCCTTTTATTGAAGGGGGATTTGGGAGGTGTACCCCCATGTCTTGCACACCAGGGAAGCAGAAGAAACTGATGCCTGTAGCAGAACCTCAGACTCAGAAAAGTGTGCTGAAAGAGCCATAAGTCATTTATACATAAAATCATATTTTATGTGTTATCTTGTTAGGATGAATCAAGTCCTTTTGCCAGACTTCTAAAGGGACACTGATGGTGATTTTCTATTTCCTTCTTCTACATTCATTAATTGGAATTTTACTACAAGGAAGAGTATTACTATTTACTATTCCTCCTCCATTTATTTTTTATTCCATTATTACTCATGCCAATATGGGTTCATGGGTTTTTTTATTTTATTCTATGGGTTATAACAGAATACTATCATTTGTTTTCTCATTCAGGAACTCCTTCGGGTTGGCTTCTGTGTTCTTTTGAGAAAAATCCGACCATTTGTGATGTCTTTCTTTTTTTATGGCACCACAAGAGATTCCACACTTACATTTTTCCCTGATCCAGCCCTGGAATAAACAAACCATTTTCCCAAAGAGCCCTGGTTTCTTTTATTAGAGAATAAGGTTAGAACCAACATTTGGTGATTCAGTGTGCTCTTTGTCACTTGGAAGGATTTTCTTAAAACATACCACCATTTGGGCAGTGCCTGTGGCTCAAGGAGTAGGGCGATGGCCCCATATACTGGAGGTGGTGGGTTCAAACCCGGCCCCAGCCAAAAACTGCAAAAAGAAAAAAAAAAAGTACCACTATTCTAAAAAATTAATTCCTGAGTACGTGGGCAGTGGTAAAGTTGTCTTAATGTCTTTAGAGTTGTTTCATTCCAACTAGGATGCAAATAAGGTTCACATCTTTTTTAGTTGATAACATTTATATTTTTATCTACAGTCCTCCTATTCTTTTTCCCTTGGCCATTTTTAAGAAACCATGTCTTTTTTACCCTATGCTGTGGCTTTGGTAATTGCATCCTGATGGTGTCATTTAACATATTTTCTACTCCTTGGTCAGATTCAGGTTTGAATTTTTGGCAAGAATATTTCAGAGGAGGCTCTACAGGTCTTACTGCATAACATCAGGAGGCCATGTAATACCCTGCAATACGGTTTGTATAGGAAAGGCAGACAAAAATCTTTCCTTAGCAGCCTTTGAGGTAAACACAGTGTCTTTTTTCTCCACATGTCAAAATAAACCCATGACTTTTAACTAATTTTTTTTTTGCAGTCATTAGTTTTTTGATGCTCACAGTTTTCTATATTTGGCCAGTGGGATCACTTTCAAATTCATTTGTCTTCTTTTAACATGACTCCAGTTGTCTTGTATGGCTTTTGCTTTTTGAGATGAGATGTTAGTAGGCTATTAAACATTTTCTTCCCTAGACCTGAAATCAAGTCACTTTTCCATCAAACCCTAGTTCCTTTGAGGAGGAAACAGTATTTTAAGACCATCATTTGGGCTTATTGTTACTGGGATATTCTCTGATTCTAGGACTTCTTTCTTTCTTTTTTGAGGCACAATACATCAGATTGTATTCAGGTTGACTCCTGTGTTCTTTTGAAAAAGTCTAATCCTTTTGAGAGTTCTTTCTCACTTTATGGCACCACAGATGCTCCAGACTCATCTTGTATTTTTCCTGCCCAACCCAGAATTTTTTTTTCTCTCTTTTTTTGCAATTTTTGGCCGGGGCTGGGTTTGAACTGACCACCGCCTGTATATGGGACCAGCGCCCTACTCCTTTGAGCCACAGGCGCCACCCATCAGAATTTTTTTTTTAATGAAAAAATATTCATGAACTCAAGCTCACAGAAGTTTTAAATTTTACACTTTTTAAGTTAGCTGTCTTCCCCTTTACTAACATTACCTTTATGTTGTGCTTGGCTGGGTTAAATCTCATGGTGTGAAACAAAAGGACGAACTCAGTGCTCTGTGACAAATATATGTAAATGACACACATATATAATAAATAATAATGTATATTTTATCTGCTCTTTTTGCAAGGAAGGTGGCCAAGGCTCTGGCTGGCCGGTCCTTAAAGGAAGAATACCCTCTGAGGCCCGGAACCTTTGCTCAACTCTCAGGCGGTCTTGGGAGGTTTTAGGCGGTGATACCTAGAAATAGACCAGCCTGACAGAATAGGTGCTTGGGGATAGGGGAGTGGAGGGGGTGGGGCGAGGAAATGAGAGGTTGGATTTGTGCATAGGATGCTCAGGGGCCGCTAGGTACTGCAAGACCTTGGCAGAGCTGAGGAAAAGGGTGCACTGAGAGGCAGCGCAGGTTCCACACCGCGGCGGTGGTAGGGCTGGGGGCAGGAGCCCGGAGCGACTTCCGGGATAAGCGGTGGGCTCCCGGGGGCGGGGCGGCCTCCTGGACGGCCAATCGCAGGCCCGCTGCGCCTCATGCCGCTTCCGCGCGTTCACTTTATGTACTCGGTGTCTGTGAGTGTCTCTGCTGTCCTCTTTCCGGACGTCGCCGACTCTCTTTGTTTCTCGGGCTTCGTGTCTGTGTCCTCAGTCTATTTTGTATAGACCGTTTCTCTCGGTCTCCTCAGCCTCCGTGTGGGTCATTCCCCAGGCATCTGAGACCTGAGGGCCCATTCCCGAGCCACATGGAAGAGCCCTCACCGCCCAGCTCTGACCCGCGGGAGACGGTGGACCCGGGGTCTCGCGCAGGTGAGCGGGGTTGGGAGATGGGAGAGCACCCTTAAAAATGGGGCACTGTGACTGGGGACAGATTCAGCAGCACTATTCGTGCTTTGGAAATCCAGTCTTTTTTAGTTTTTTTAGAGACAGAATCCTGCTCTGCCACCCAGACTGGAGTGGGCTCAAGCGATCCTCCTCTGTAGGTGGTACTACATATGCCCGCCACCATACCCGGCTAATTTTTCTTACTTTTTTTGTAGAGACAGTGTATCTCGCTGTTGCTTAAGCTGGTCTGGAACTTCGGCTCTCAATCGAACCTTCAGTCCTGGCCTTCCCAAGATTGGATAGGAAATCCAATCTTGAGGGAATATGAGTCAGAGCCGCTCAGTCGGCCAGGACTGACACAGCCAGAGAATCTTCATGTCCAGTTCTATTTTTGTTTTCTTCTCAGTGACACAATAACTTAAACCTGAGAATTAGCATTGTAGAGATGAAAGGAAACTGAAAAGGAAAAACCCTTAATAGCGAGGGGTTTGTAGGTGGCAGAGAGAGCCCTAAGCTGCAACTTAGGAGACTTGGGTCTTGGTCCAAGTTTTGCTACCGAGTGGCCTTCTCTAAGCTTTTCCCCCTCTCTGGGCCTAAATTTTCCCATCTATACCTTGACAGGGTTTAGCTTACAGGATCTTCAAAGGCCTGACACATGGAAGGTGTTCTGTAAATATTAATTTTGTTAGGAGTGAGTGGAATAGGCAGGACTCTTTCTACTGAATTTTATACGTGAGGGTCCTAGAACAGAGAAGTTGAATAATGTGCCCAAGGTCTTGTGGTTGTGGTTCAAATTCAGTGTTCTTAATCATTACACCACCCTGGCTCAGGGAGAGATATCTACTTAGAAGAAAGCCTGACAGCTCTGTTAGGAGAGCTTGAACTGGGGGACAGAAGTATGGAGAAGACAGTCTACCTTGGCCTATCTTTTGCTTCTTCTATTAAGACCTGAGGATTGGCGTGAGGGGAGGCTTTTCTTCTGGACTCAGCAAAGCCACCTTCCATTCTCTCCTTATGGTTCTTCTCTCTTCTTTAAGTTAGAAAAAAAGTGACTAAATAAATTATTCTTCTGCTATTGATGAGAGTTTATCTTGATCAACACTAGGAGGCTATAGCCAAAAGCTGCTCTACTTTGCCCTTAGAATTTATGGCCTAGAAAGCTGCGTCATTCCTCTGTCAGAAATTCTTTGAGTTTCCCCTATCTATAGAATAAACATGGTATCGAAACCTCCTGGGATCTGGATTCTGCTGTCCCCTTCAGGCTTATCTCTACCAACAGCTTTTGCATTCCACCTTGGTGTAGTCAGACTGAACTACTGAGACTTCCCATAGTGCTCTGTGTTTTCTGTTACCTGCAGACTTTTTACATCCACTCCCTCTGCTCTCTCTCTCTCTCTCTTTTTTCTTTTTTGTTTTAGAGACAGAGTCTCTCTTGGTCACTCTCGGGAGAGTGCTGTGGCATCTTAGCCCACAGCAACCTCAAACTCTTGGATTCAAGTGATTCTCTTGTCTCAGCCTACCACGTAGCTGGGACTATAGGCACCCACCACAATACCCAGCTATTTTTTAGAGACAGGTCTCCCTGTGGCTCAGGCTGGTCTCGAACCTGTGTGCTCAGGCAGTCCACCCACCTCAGCTTCCAAAGATTAAAGGCATGAGCCACTGCACCCAGCTTGCCCTTCTCTTTTTTATCCTCAGTTGGCTAACCCACTGTTCATTCTTTAAGATCTAGTTCACTCATTCATTCAACAAATTATTTGTTGAGTACATATCACATACCATGAATGGTTCTACATGTAGAGGTATGGCAGTAAATAAATAGACATATCCTCGCCCTTTATGAAACTTCTGTTTTGTAGTAGGTATTAAACGAGTGTAACATATGATAAATATGTGTAGAATGGAGCAGGAAAAGAGGCTAGGGAGGGTCAATAGAATTTACAAGGAAGCCCTCACTGATGGGATGGTGCTTGAATGAAGCTGAGCAAACTGAGGGAGTTATGTGGCTATGTGAAACAAGTGTGTTTCAAGACCCAGGGCATAACTCACGCCTATAATCCTAACACTCTGGGAGATGGAGGTGGTGGATTGTTTGAGCTCAGGAGTTGGAGACCAGCCTGAGCAATAGCAAGACCCTGCCTCTAAAAATAGCCTGACCTTGTCCTGGGCACCTGTAGTCCCAGCTACTTGGGAGGCTGAGGCATGAGAATCACTTGAGCTCAAGAATTTGAGGTTGCTGTGAGCTAGGACGCCACGGTACCTTACCAAGGTCAACAGAGTGACACTCTGTCTCAAAAAAAAAAAGAAAGAAATGTGCTCCAGGCAGGGTTCAGTTATTAACCCTCTCCAAACATCCTTCTATGGTGCTGTGATCTGCCCTTTTTCTGTTTTTTTATTTGCTCTGGTATTTACTTCTAATGCAGTGCTTATTACAGGTGTGTCATATTATAATTGTCTGCATGTAAGTCTATTTCCCTCACTTGGACGTGAGTTTCTTTTTTTTTTTGGATATGAGTTTCTTGAGAGCAAGGACACCTGATTCTTGTCTCAGTGCACATGTATGGCTGGGCACAGAGTAGGCACCCAGAAATATTTACTGAATAAATGAAGAAAGCATTAAAGACCAGGTTCTTATAGCCTAATAAATTTTACAAATGACTCATAAGATAGGGCTTGGATGACTGAAGGTGTCCCATGAAACCCCTTGTTCGGTGACGCAGAGGAAAGCACTGCTAGACAAAATGATTGGAATGAAAAGGAGGGCTGAGGCTCTATCAGGCACACAGCAAACACCCATGTTTATTGAGCTCCTTGTAAACTTGTCTTAGTAAAGGTTAAAAATAGCAAAAAGGGCTCAGCGCCTGTGGCTTAAGTGGCTAAGGC